CCCCAAAACCCCAAAACCCCAAAACCCCGGGATGTTTTGGAATAATTGAAGATGAAAATAGTCTTTACGTACGTCATCAGGATATCCTCAATTGATAATTATTAGTCTCAGCTTGAGCGCTAAGCTAGACCATCAGCTGTATTCAGGCCAACTTCATGCTTTATGAGAGTTACCTAAACATAACTACTTGGCTAAAATTCGTTCATGAAGATCTGATTCAGCTTTAATAACCTAATCTAGGTTGATTTTATTCTAACCAGAGAATATTCGAATTTGACAGGGGTTTCTTCTATAGAGCTTAGAAGCTGTAGCTCCACATTTTAGAATTGATGAAATAGACGAGAAATTTCGGTGTCTTAAGTTTGTTTGGTTAGCTACATCGGGGAAGAGGCCTATGCCAAAATAATTTATAGGTATAGAGACTTTAGCATATACTCCATTGACCCGTATTTGTTCTGAGGCCAATAAAAGTGAAGATTGCAAACTTGGGTATTTTAAATTAAAATTTATATCACTCTATAGTTCTTTCTGGACAAAAATTTTCTGATAATTCCTGACACTACTATATAGGCTAAGCTTGATGGTATCATGAGTGCTCTGGTCAGGTAAGTGAACTCACCTCAGAACCATGATTTCAGAGGTGCCAAAAGTGAGACTAAATGTCCTTATCAACATTTGAAACTTTTAAGACCAAAATTTGGCAACTTAAAACCCTTCAGAGCTTTATTAAAATGCTTCATAGTACTAAAGATGATCCTTAAGCTTTAGTAATTCTCCTTATCAGCTAATTCTGGATGAATTTGGGTCTCAACATCTGAAGACCTGATCTCTTCGAACGAAATCCTCCAGAAATTCTGTTAATTTCTTAAGCCAATTTATAATAGTTTTTAACCAAGAATCCATATCAGATTTTATAAGACTTTGGAAAACTAGAGAATTCTAACAGGAAATACACCTGAAGTCTTTTATACGTCAAGTCTTTGGGCAATAGAACTCAGTGCATTAGCAAGCTAGAGTGCTCTGGACTTGCCCTGTTACCATCTAAGAAGGACACTCGGTTGAGAAACTTCTAGAACCTTCAGATTATTTACTTGACTTCTCAGATGAAAGAGATAGGTAGATGACATTTAATAAAGAAGAAGTCTTGACAGACTGAGACAGAGTCTACAGAATTTTGTATAGAGCTTGCTTTGCCTCTTGCTAGATTAATGGCTGAATTTTAACAAAACCGGCCAGCTTAGATATGAGTATTGCTCCCTTTTAAGGATTGAGAGTCTGAATTTCATGGCATCTAAGTGCTATTTCTTGTTGAATACATTCTGTTGGCCGCTCAAGTGAGGAGCTGACTGAAAATATTGGTCTCTATTGATTATTCCTTAACCATTATAAATCCTGAACGAGCTTTGGTCGAATTAGTTATGCCATGATGATGTTAAAATTATTTTGTAAAGGATTATCATCTTAAAACGTCTGCATGTGTCCAAGATAACATTTTGATAAGTTTTTCTATAGTTATTGCATTTGATCCAAACTTGAGTACCATCTCTGGAGTAGCTTCTGGAGACACTCTGAGCATTAACCAGACCTACACAGTGACCGTCCAGGCCAAGGACTCTAGTGGGAGCAACATTGTTACAACAGGAAAGGATCTCTACATTCGCTTATCAGACCCTTGTACTCGAGGTGCTAATATGTCATGAACTCCTTCTCCTTTTACTCATAGTGCACTTCAAGGATCAGAGAAGGTCCAGAAATTCACTGACAATGGTGATAGTACTTATACTACCAGCTTCAGCTTGAACCACTTTGGAGATGCTACCCTTTCAGTGTTTCAAGTGGCTTCTGAGCCTGTCTTGAATCAATATTATAACAGTAAATTCATATAGTAGGAACTCCAGATCTTACCAATACAACGGAGTAAGTGAAGCCTCTTATAGATTTAGCGACATAAACTTTTACTTTGCTGCTGGAGATAATATCACTCCTGGCCATGTAGATGCAGCAGCCAGGTTCTCTGGCAAGCTCACTGCTTTTAAGACAGGAGCTTATACCTTATCCTTGGTGCAAGATAATGGCAGTACGCTGTAAGTATTGAGTCTGACAGTAATAGAAGAATAAACGGAGTTGCTCTTATAAATAAATTCAGACTTGATTGGTACGGAACAGACTATGTCACCTACAACTTCAATGCCTTTGAAACCTATGAAGTCCAAATTGATTGGGTTGATTTCTCCGGCCCTGGAGGAATTAAACTCGGCTGGGACTCTGGCTCTGGTGATATGTTTATCCCTCCTGAAAATTATGCAGTTGCGAATGATATTGGATCTTCTCCATTACAGATTTCTGTATCTTGTCCTGAAGGATATGAACAAGTCTCCTCAACAACAGATCAATGTAGATCTATATGTGGAGACGGTCTGCTAGTTGGGCCTGAAGTCTGTGATGACAACAACACAGCCGACGGAGACGGTTGTAAGTCTGACTGCACTGCTGTAGAGACTAGATGGGTCTGATCAGGAGGATCAGCTACTACACAAAGCATCTGTAAAGAATGCACTCAAGGATTTTACCAAAATAGTCCTTCCCACCCCACTACTTGAGTGACTGAATGAGGTGATGGGTACAAAGTTGGTGCAGAAGTTTGTGATGATGGTAACACCAGTGATGCAGATGGATGCAAATCTGATTGTACAGAAATTGAAGAAAACTATGTTTGCTTTGGAGGAAGCCCCAACAACAAAGATACCTGAGAACTTTGTGCACCTGGGTTCACCCCAGATGCAAACAAAGAAACATGCATTCCTGTTTGAGGAGATGGTATCTTGGCAGACTCAGAAGCATGTGATGACGGCAACACAATTGAAGGAGATGGATGAGCCCCAAGTTGAGATGCAATCGAAGTTGGATGGAGTTGAGAGCAAAACAACCCAACTATCTGTAAAAGGGACTATAAATCTGTCTTATTCACAGATGAAGAAAAAGCTATCCAGGGATCAACCTTCTCGTTCATTGTTATACTTGTTGGATTTAGCATTATTTGAAGGTCAATCAATCAGCCGGGAGGAAACTCAGCACTATCTTTTATGAACCAGATTCAGCTATTAATTTTATTTGTATTGCTTGAAATTCATCTACCTTTGAGAGTTATAAATTTTCTCAGGTCTCTTTCAGTAATTCTAGTGAATCTAAATATCAGCTGGAGCTTCTTCATTGCCTTCAGAGAAATCATTGATTGGTTTGACTTCCCTCAAAACAGGGCTGATTTTGAGATGATAAATATCAACTCTGGAAGCACTCTGCTGAATCTAAACACTCTTATCAGCCTAATCATTGTCTTTATGATTTTTCATCTGTCTGTGGCTATCTTTGTGAACTGAAACAAAGAGTCCGAAAAGTGATGGGCTAGATTAGCCAAATACATCAAAAAGTGCTTCACCTTCAAGGTGTACTTTGTATTGATTTTTGAAACGTTTATTATTATGTGTCTTTGCTCTTTCTCAGAGATTGATGCTTTTACAACTGATGGCTCTGGCTCTCAAAAACGGTCATTCGCATTCTCAGTAATATGCCTTGTGATCATTCTCGCAATCCAGCTCTTAGTCATATCAGTGTGGGTCTGAGCAACCATCTCTCCTTCAGATTCAAACAGGATGCTCTTTATCGAGCTTTTTGATGGGTTGAAGACCAGCAAACTAGCTCGACTCCAGCCATTGCTGTTCTTGTTGAGGAGAGCGATCCTCTGCCTAATGATAGCCAGTAAGAGAGCATGTTCATCGTTTAGCAATGAGAGGTGCCAGCAAGCCTCTACTACTGACCTCATTCTTAACTATAAATATCTTACACTGAGGAATTGTCTGAGTCATCAGACCATTCCAAAAGGTATCAGATAACATCATAGAGATCATCAACGAGTTCTTCTATGTGAGTTTCTGCCTGTTCCTTCAGTGGAACCATGCCGAAGGCCAATGGAGCCACATAGACGAAATTATGTTCTACTGGCTGGTTGTCTGTGGTAATAATATAATCAACTCAGTGCTTTCACTTGGTAAGCCTGTTACTTACCTTTAGCTGTCTTTGTGCACACAGTTGTGCTACACAGGTCCAGGAAGAAAGTCATGAAGGAACTCAACCAAGAACTAGGCACTCTTCAGAAGAATATCAACCTTCAAGTTGTCGTGCCAAGGGTTCAGCACAATGTGATTTAGAGAGAAATCCAGATGGCAAGAAGGAATGGGAGTAATATATCAAACTCTGACATCATTCTTCGTCCTATGCCACAAGGAAATAATAATTTTTCAGATTAATTACCCAATTTAAACTTCATGTGTCGATCAAAGTTAGGACTTAATACTTATCATCAATATTGATAGCTTTTATGGGGTTATTGGGGTTTTGGGGTTTTGGGGTTTTGGGG